TCTTATTTTGAGCTCCAAGAAATCACTTTGGCTATTCGTGAAATAAAACACCCACATACTGGGCATGCAATTGCTTCCGTATTAAAATCTATTATTCAAGATTGGAACTTGAATACGAAATATTTTATGGTAATAACAGATAATAACAAAAATATGAAAAAAACTATTATGGAAATTGAAAATGTTAATCATCTTTCCTGTAGTACGCATACTCTACAACTAGTTGTAGGAAAAGGATTATTACCAGTTAAAGTCTTAGTTGCATGAGCAAAATGATTGATACAATTTTTTACATCTCCTAAACAAAGTGAACAACTTGCGATAGCACAAATATCTTTAAAACGTACTATATGTGATAGTATAAATAATAATCATGAATACCTTAAAGTTGTAATGGATGTTGCAACAAGATGGGATTTGACATATATGGCGTGGGTGAGAATTTTAAAATTAAAACCAAAATTGAAGTGATGCAATTAAAAGATGCACGACGTCTTAAACGAATCATGTTAATATTTGATGAATGGCAATTAATGAAAGATTTAATTAAAGTTTTACAACTTTTCGCTAATGCTACAAAAATGCTTGGTGGAAGTAAATATACTACGATGTCATATGTATTTCCAACTATATCATCTCTTAAAAAATTGCTTAATATTACATATGATACTCAAGTTAATGTAAATCTTGATAATGCTAATACAGCTTTTGATGACGATCAAGAGTTTCAAGAAGAGATTGATCTTATAGATGAACCTGAAATACTTGATGTTGAATCTGAAGCAAAACTTAACCAAATTAAAATTAATATTCCACAAGTTTGTGATAGAATGGTTGAAAATATAAAAATTGCATTATTTAATGCTTTAAATTATTACTGGGAATATCTTATCTGTGAAGCTCTTCTTGCAACACTTCTTGATCCTAGAACCAAAAAAATGGAACTAGCAACTTATTCTCAACGACTTGAGGCTGAAGCGTATTTGATAACTGAATATGAAGCATTTAAAGAACAAGAACCAATACCAATGGATACAATACAAATAGATGATGATCCTGATGAGGAAGAAAATGTGTTATTAGCTGCAATGTATGAATCTATTCAAGAATCCGATACTAATACTGAAATTCAAGTCTATCTTGCATTACCAAGAATTCCAAATACTCAATGTCCTTTGAAATGGTGGAATGGTCAGCAATCGAATTTTCCTATATTAAGTAAAATTGCACAAAAATACTTATGTATCCCAGCCACATCTACACTCAGTGAACGACTCTTTAGTGATGCCGGGAATCTTATGACTGCAAAACGTACTTGTTTAAATGCAGATTTATTTGAACGCATGCTATTTCTTAAAAGAAACACCAATTGCACTGGTGCAATGTTTCCGTAAAATATAGTGTTATAAAATACTGTATTTATTAGCATTATTTTTCAGAATTATATTACTATGTACATGCATTGATAATATTAATAAAATACATATATTCTTATTGCGGCTGCTTTTTTTATAATAATTCTTTATAATAAAAATCCATAAAATTTTCTATATAGATTGTTTGTTATAAAAAATTTGAATTGACTATATTTTTGATTAATTCAACGGATTTATCCGGATAATTTACAAACGGATATCTGAAATTTGCAGATATCCGAAAAACAGACTAAACAAATAACTGTTATCCACCGGATCCGAGCTCTAATCACAACAAAGCTATACGTACAATTTTTTTTTTTTTTTTTTTTGATACTTTTAGTATTTTGACTGGCCAATCAGATTAAACAAATCGGGATCAGCAGACTATATACTTGCGGCCAATAAAACAGAACTTCAGTCATGCTGATTTGACCAGTAGCAGCTTTAATAAAAGATGTGATGTTTCCTAAGCAGAAAAATCACGTTCTGATATAGTATGTAATAAGAGTCATTGAATAGATTTAAGTGCAGGTTCATCAGACTTTGCATT